TCTAACAAGAGAATATTAACAAAACAAATGTCACTAACACACTCTTTTTAATACATTATTTATTATTAATTATAATTTATTAAAAATTATAAAAATAAAAAAAAATAATTATTAAATAAGATATAAGATCTATCAACATTTGTTTGTGTCTTTAAATAAGTTTCTCTCAATTTAAGAGAATATGTTTAAAAGAGTATACATATGAAAGTGTTGAGTATTTCTCTTAAAAAAAAAGTGCAATCATCGTGGTTTCAATTTCTAACATAGAATTAGTGAGATTTGTGTTATCTTATCTCCACCATGCATGGTGGTGGTGTGTGTTTGTTGGATGTTGTGATGCGTAGCGGTGGAGGCAACATGATGCAAAACGTGATATAATGACATGGATTTTTTAAGGCATTAATTTGATTAGATCAAAAAGGTTGAAATAAAGTAAATTGAAAAACCAATTATTGTGTAGAAGATTTTATACACATTTGTTTATGCATGATATTGATTATTGAGTCTAAAGATTTATTTAGTTTCACATCAAACATATTCAAAATTGATTTTATTGTATTTAAAATGTGAGACTTAAAAATAATTATTAATAGTTTTTCATCAAACAAAATTAATTATGAAATTTTATCTACTCAAATTTATAATTATACACTTAAAATCAATTTTGATAACAATTTTTCAAACAATATTTATATGAAAATAAGTTTATATTCTTTGTCATTCAAACAAAAATCGTGTTAATTTTAACTTATATTTACTTAAAAATCAATAATATAAACGCATCCATATATACATCAAATCTTTATAATTTTATCTTTAATCACTATCTAAAGCACCTCTTATCAATAAAAAATCTATGTGTATTTATAAACTTATATTCCTTCTCATATTATAATACAACATCAATAAATGCAAGGATTAATGATCAGAACATGAGAACAATAGTATCTGTTCCTGTGTTAGGATACACACTTCAATTATCTGTTGTAACGGGTCGGATCTTGGGTCTCGGTCTTCTCGTTCCTATCCGGGCAGTCCGAAGTGAGGGGGATGTGCCTGCAAAGACACTCCGACGCTCAAGTTAGTGCTCGGCGTAATAAATGCGATAGTTGAAAAAGATTAGTTACGTACCTCGAAGGTGGTCTATTTATAGTGTTTCTTATTGGGCCATGATTAGGAGCTGGGCCCCGGAAAATTAGGGGGCTAATTCGGCTTATTCCTTAAATTAATCCTTTCGTAATCATCCTGGTGGAGTCCCAGGGCTCGACCGACTAAATCGACCCCCTTTGCTTGGCGAGTGGTCGGTGTGTTCGGGTAGTGGTTTCGGTCTACATTGGGTTCGGGTATTCGGTCGGGTCGATCGGGTTGGCTTCGGTCCCATACGGTATACAACCCCCGCAGCGTTGTGGACAGCAGGGACGAAGACGGTCTAAAAGTACTAGGTTTTTTGCGTCGATTTAGAAGGATGGATAATGACTGGTATAACGAGGCATCCGCCTGGTGAGGTCTTTGCCGAGACCTCGGAGGATCAGGTTCGTCTGGATACTAGGCCGAGTTTTAAGCCGGGGCGTTAACTGGAGGGTCCATGCCGAGGCCTTGAGCGTTGCGGATCAGCGCTGGGGAGTTGGTGATTATCGAGGTAACCGAAATCTTGAATGTTGAGCCATCATCGAGGACTCGTGATTGTAGGGGTCTACGCTGGGACCTTGAAAGTTGAGAACCAGCACCAAGGACTCATGATTGTAGAGGTCTAGGCCGAGACCTTGAAAGCTAAGAGCCCGCGCCGAGGACTCGTGATTGTTGGGGTCTTCGTCGAGACCTTGAAAGCTAAGAGCCCACGCTGAGGACTCGTGATTGTTGGGGTCTTCGCCGAGACCTTGAAAGCTAAGAGCCATGGGCAAAATCGGGGTAGTTTTATGCCGAGGCCTTGAAAGCTGAGAGTCGGCGCCGATAGCTTTATGGGCGTGGCCTGCCATGTTGGCCTTAGCGGTTACGGGTCCAACGGTTACTAAATCTAGACCGTTGGATGGTCCAGATCGAACTGTCGTGCTTGCGGGGCGTCTTTTCACCTCCTACTTTCACCCTGCCTATAAATAGGGGGGGCATTTGGAGAATTTACTTGCTGTAAATTCTCCGAGGTCTCTGAGTTTAGGAATTTTTCCGAACACACCGATCAAGGTACAATTTTGTATTTTTTTATTTTGTGATAATAAATGGATAGGGGCTATTCCTCGGCTAGGAGTTGGACGTCGTCGGAGGCGTCGGGCGCAGCGTCGGATAGAGAGGGGTCGGGTTCGAGCGAGATCTCAAGGTTGCCACCTCTGTAGTGTGAAGTGGGGTTCCCTTCCGATTATCCCGAGCAAGAGGATAGCGGGGATGAGGTGGTAGAGGTCGCCCCTGATGACCTTGGCGATGACCTTGGCGACGGCCTTGGCGACGGCCTTGGCGACGGCCACCGAAGTCGACGATAGAGGTATCGGCCGGGATGACCAGCCGAGGCCACATGCCGAAACCCATCACGCTGAATCTAGCGGGGATGAGCTGGAAGTGGTCGGTGACAACCGGGGTAAAGGCGTGGTCGGACCGAGTGTTCGGGTTAAAGCCAAGATTGACTACGGCACAGTGGAGGCGTCCGGGTATGAGTGGGTGGATGGGGAGGTCAGGATATATTTTTCTAAGTTATCCGACCAGCGACTGTTGGACACTTTCGTGTCTCTGGAAAAGTGTTTTGGGAGTGGGGAGGGCGAGTTTCTGCTACTGGCCGAAGCGTGCGAAGACAATGGGCAGAACACTGATTTCGTGTTTTTGGAGTTGGTCCCGAAGAAGACGACTATTTCTACGCCTACATGTGCTGGTTCGAGGATCTCGGCATGCAGTTGCCTTTTGACGATTTTCAGATGGGAGTCCTCCGAGCCTTGAACGTGGCACCGACCCAACTGCATCCTAATGCTTGGGCGTCCATGCAAGCGTTCCAAAATTTGTGCCTAAGTCTTGGCCTAACGCCCCGACCAC